CTCCTCCTCCTCCTCCTCCTCCTCCTCCTCCTCCTCCTCCTCCTCCTCCTCCTCCTCCGCCTCCGAGTTCTCCTTATTCAACCCCCTTTCCTCCGCCCCCTTCCCCTCTTCCCCCACATCCTCCACCTCCTTGTCCTCCTTCTCCTCCGACGACGACCTTGGCGACGACGACGACGACGACGACGACGACGACGACGACGACGACGAGGACGACCACGACCACGACCACGACGACGATCACCCGGGGATATGGCCGTCCTCGAGTTCCGCCTGCATCGCGGGGCCGAAGCCTGGCATGTGAAGCACGTCGCCGCCTGGCGGCAGAGGCCCCGCTCCGCGCGCCGCGGGAGAGGCCGCCGGGGGAGGCCCTCGGGCGCCCCGCGGAGGCCCCGGGGAGGCCCAGCAGAGGCCCGGACCCGGTGTTTCTCTGCTCCTCGGCCGCGCTTCGCCCCACCACGTGCTGCTCCCTGGATCCTGCTCCCCCTGCTGCTGCAGCGCTGGGAGGAGGAGGAGGAGGAGGAGGAGGAGGAGGAGGAGGAGGAGGAGGAGGAGGAGGAGGGAGGAGGAGGAGGAGGAGGAGGAGGACCAGTGGAAACCCAGGAGTCATCAACGATGTTGGAATTAACCCTCCCTCCAAGCTCCCTCTTCATAGGCCCCTAGAGCGGTTCATTTCCATTGAGGGAACTGCCTCGTTGGAAAACAACAGTTTGAAGATCCTGAAGCGTGCCAAAACATTGTTCTCGGGATTTCAATGGCACTTATCAACCTGACTGCTGCGTCTTGACGATCCAGAACCTTGCCAGAACGCCATGTTTGGGATTTCAAAACAGCAAATCAACATCACTGTTGCGCCCGTATACTCCTGCATCAATCCAAAACACAGATTCTGGTACGTTGATCATGGGAATCCGTGAGAATCTTGCAAATGTTACGTGCGCGGCGCTAAGGCGAGAGCCTCATTTTGAAAACCACCCACCCTCAAGTCGTGAAACTCTTGCAAATGTTTAAAGCGAACGTGCGCGGCGCTAAGGCGAGAGCCTCATTTTGAAAACCACCCGCCCTTAAGTCGGGAAACTCTTGCAAATGTTTAAAGCGAACGTGCGCGGCGCTAAGGCGAGAGACACATTTTGAAAACCACCCGCCCTCGAGTCGTGAAACTCTTGCAAATGTTTAAAACGAATGTGCGCGGCGCTAAGGCGAGAGTCACATTGTGAAACTGTTGCCACTCTTGAAGCTTCAGGGTGAAGCGCCGGGCCCGCCCTAAAAACTGGCCTCGGGGTGCGACAGGGAGGAGTTAGAAGGAAAATGAATGGAGGAGGAGGAGGAGGAGGAGGAGAAAGAGGAGAAAGAGGAGGAGAAGGAGGAGAAGGAGGAGAAGCGGACGCCCAGCCAAGGCCCTCGGAGGCTCAGTGGAAGCCCAGCGCAAGCCCTGCGGTGAGGGGGAACGTAAAGGGGGCATGCCTGGGTGAACGTGAACGAGAGGCTTTTCTACCGTTTTCATTGGTCTCGGCGGCTTTCCAGCCTCGGGACTCCTCCCGAGCGAAGTGAACCCCACCCTCCCCCTCAGAAATCGTGGGGGGCAGGGATAGGGTTCGCATGTGGCTTCCTAAAACTGTTTTTGGTCGGCGGGTCGGGAGCGGGCCCCTTCAGGTCAAGATCTAGGCGGGGCGCGCGAAGCCCTAATGGGGGAGAAACGGCGCAAGCGGGCGGGGCCTCAGGCGGCCTGAGGGTGCAGAGTACAGGCGCGGCCCCCTAAAACTGGCAACCGGGAGAGTGAGCGGCGTGCCTGGGCGCCCCCGCTGGCGCGGCCTTGGCCCCGCGGACGGATCTGCCCACTCGGGTGGGGACGTCGCGGGGCCCACCCTCACCCAGGAGAGCGGGCCAGTGGGGTTCGGGCCACGGCCCCGCGGGGATGGGCACGGAGCAGACGATACAGGGCAGCGTCTAATACATAGGATCTGTTCATATATATATATATATATATTAGACTTTAGATATACGAACTCATCGTTGTTGTTAATATTAAATCCCTGCATGTTCAATACATGATCCGCACGCGGAGCATGTATTAAAAACGGCACTGTATGCTTATGTCGGGCGTGTCCCCCTACAGGGGGATTTTCAACGAAAAAAAAAATCTAATAAATACACCAAAAAGGTCAAAAAATATTCCAAAAATAGTCCCCAGGCTATTTTCGGAGTATTTTTACACTATTGTTGGGGTATTTTTTATTTTTCGTCGAAAATCCCTCTGTAGGGGGACACGCCCGACTGAACTGTATGCCCTGGTGGCGCCCGCCCGATTGCCGACGGCGCTGCGCGCCCCGTGGCCCGCGGCCGCGCGACCCGGCGCGCGCACGCCCGGAGCCCTCGCCGCCCGCGGCCAGCGCCCTCCGCACGGCTGGCGCCCGCCTCCTCCTCCTCCTCCTCCTCCTCCTCCTCCTCCTCCTCCTCCTCCTCCTCCTCCTCCTCCTCCTCCTCCTCCTCCTCCTCCTCCTCCTCCTCCTCCTCCTCCTCCTCCTCCTCCTCCCGCACGGAGGCCTCGAACGGCGGTCGGCTTCGGAGCGAAAGAGGCCCGCGATGCGCCCGCCGACGCCGCCGCCGCTGCGCCCCGCAGGCCCGCTCTGGGGCGTGAGCTCGGGTGCAGGGCGAGCGTGGCGCCCGCGTCCCGCGGCCGAAGGCACCGGTGGCGCCCGCGGCTCGTGGCACGTGGCCGGCGACCACCCCAGCCCCCACACGGCAGGGGTCTCGAGGCGCGCGCGTCGATGGGATCGAGCGCCCGTGGTCCGCGGCCTATGGAGTTGTCTGTAACCTCCGACGCGTCCGCGATGCGGGGCTGGAAAGGACTAGACATCTCGGCGCATGGGCCCCAACGAGCGAGCGCTGTTCAAAACGTAACCCTGCAGAACCTGCAAACGGCGTGTGCCACCCGTGTGGCGCGCCACGAATTGCGCGGTCCGTTGCGCCATAAGCTGCGTGACGCATGGAATGCGCCGTGCGTTCGCGCCATCCTCACTTTTCGCCATGGGTCGCGCCATCAACAGGCTACGCCAGCCAAGGATTCCGCCACGGGTTGCGTTATCCAGGTGATGCATCTACACCCATCCACGGCTTGCGTTTCCTGTGGTTGCGCAATTGGCTGCGCGCTCGGCGGCCGCGAATAAGACGGCCCGCTACTGGTTGCGCCATAGATTGCGCACTCAGTTGCCGAAAACCAAACGACCTGCAATTGGTTGTGGCATAGCGACTCGGCGGCCGAGAAAACAACGGTTTGCGACCAGATGCGGCACGCGTTATCCATTCGGCGGCCGAGAATACAACGGCCGCCTGGGGGGTACGACCAGTCAGACAATCAGTCAGAACAGTCCACATCGCAAAGACAAGTTCTGGCGACGCCCAACCAAAAGCTGACAGCGAAAACGTACTGCATCGCACATGCGCTGGCGACCCCCCCCACCCCACGTCTGCCCGGATGGGGCCCGAACAAACAGAGTCCTAGGACCCCTCCGCGTCGCCGATGCACCGGCGATGCGGCGCGATTTGGAGCCCGACTTCTGTTCCGCCCCGACGATCGGCACGCGCGCGCGCACGCCCCGACGATCGGCACGCGCGCGCGCACCTCCGCGACTGACGGCCCCCTCCGCACCTCCAGTCGTTGAAAGCCCGCACCTTCCGTCCACGCAGCTCGTCTGCGAAGCCGGGCTCCCCCACGGCGATGGCCCACGTTCACAGGCCCGGAAATCTCTGCGCGTCGCCGGCGCGGCGGAGACGCCACGCAGCAGCGATGCACCTCCACGAGGGGTCGGGAGCGGCCAAGAGGGGGGTGTCCAAGAGGGGGGGGTGCAAATCATGACCGGCGGCACGTGCGCGGCCCAGCGGGGGGGCCCGGTACGTAATGAAACAAGAAGAGGCGCCATGAAATCTGGGGAAATATCATGGCCCCCGCCATGATATCCACCCCCCCCTAGTCATCACCCCCCTCTTCTCCACCCCCGAAGGGGGCGCGATCCCCCACCTGCCGCGACCCTCCGGCGGGGCCAGGGCGGCCCCGCGGCGTGGCCCCGCGGCGCGGCCGGGGCGCCTGCCGCGCGAGGGCGCGCAGGGCGGAGGTGCAGCGCACCCGCGGGGAGCCGCGGGGGGCCCGCCGGCCGTGGCCACGCGGCGCCGGCGCCGCCGCCGCTGCGCAGCCGCCGCCGCTGGCGGCGCGGCACGCCCGAGGGCGCCGCGGAGCCCGCCCCGGCCCGGCCCTCCGCGGCCGCCGCGCCGACGGGGGCGCCCGAGGGGCCTCCGCGCCCGAGGGCCCCGCGCGCCCGTGCTGCAGCGCTGGCGGGGCCGTGCACACCCCGCGCTGGAGAGTGGCACAGCGCCACCACGCGCTGGAGGCCCGCCCGCCGGGGGCGCGCCGCCGGGGCCACGGGGCGGGGCGCCCGAGGGCCTCCGCGGCCGCGCCATGGCGCCCGCACTGCGGAGGCTCGCGCCGCTCCGCCGACGCCCCAACGACGATGGGTGCGGCTGCCGATCTCGCACGCGTGGCCTCATCACCGCGTGCCGTCGTGCTGCCCGCCTGCGGTGGTTGCTGTTGATGCGTCCTCCTTGTCCCCCGCGTCTGTCGGGGGGCGTCGCGGGAGCCTCTTGGAGGCCTCGGGGAAGGGGCGTCCTGGGAGCCTTCGAACGGCTCCCAAGGGTTTTGGGGAGGCCTCCTCGGGGCGTCTTGGGAACACGTTAAAGCGTCTTTGGGGCTATCTTGCAGGGGAGGGTTCCCGAACCCCCTTCGAAATCCTCCTGTTGGGCTTCTACTGCCCCTCTTGGGGCTCTCTTGAAGGCATTATTGGCAGTCGTGGGGGCCTCCTGGGCAATTTTCGGCACCCCCTGGACCATGTATGGGCCCTCTTGGGGGCCTCTTCGGCCGTCTTGGCCTAGTCTGGAGAGCTTCTCGGCACGTCTCGGGCCTTCAGGACCCCGAAACGGCGAGGGTGCGAGCACAGTTCTAAAACTAGATTTTGGACGCCCGAAATGGGCACGGAAAGAATGGGCACTATGCCCAACAACAGATGTTGTCCCGAGCCAACAGCGGCCGCTGTTGGGCAGGCGGCCTCCTGTCTCGAATGGACACAGGCCGCGGCGGCGTGGACAGCGAGCCCTGTTCAAAATGAACAAGATCCGCTGTTTGGCATCGTACCCATTCTTTCAGTACCCATTTCGGGCGTCCAGATAGATGGCGAATCCGCGATCTGTGCCTCCCGACACCGTTTCTGGAACCCCCTCGGGGCCCTCCCTGGGCGTCCTCGCTGGCCATCGCTCGGACGTCCACTCCGTGTGTTTTTGTTCGGTTTCGTGCGTGGCTTTTTCGCCACATGATCAAGGATGCTCCTCGATGGTCCTCGCCGAGGAAAAAACGCACACGTCCGAGCGATGCCAAGCCTCGAGGCCTCCTGGGCCGTCCTGGGACCATCTTGGCTGCTCTGGGGGCCTCTCTGGCGCGGCGGAGCCTTCCTTTTGAGCTACACCTTCGAGGCCACCGCCGGCATCTTAGGAGGCGACGGAGGAGGAGGAGGAGGAGGAGGAGGCGGAGGAGGAGGAGGGGAGGAGGGGGGGAGAGGAGGGAGAGGAGGAGGAGGAGGAGGGAGGAGGAGGAGGAGGAGGGGGGAGGAGGAGGAGGAGCGGGAAGAGGATGTTAGGGCCCTTGTCTTCACCCCCCATTCGGGTCACTCCCCATTACCACCCGCCCGACCATTCTCGGCGGCGACGAGAAGGGCGAGTAGCCCAGGGGCGGGCATTACATACAGTTGCCCGGGAGCCTTGCCGAAGACATGAATCCTCGGCGCCCCTGGATACGTGAGTATTGCTCTCCCCTGGGCGATTCGCCCTCATCGTCGCCTCTGACACTCCCCGCCATCTCCCCCCTGCAGGCCCCGCCCCCCCCCCGCCCTTCACCGGATCTGGAACCCCGGGGAGGGGGACAGGGAGAGGGGGCAGCCACACGTCTCTCTCGCGCCTGCTCGCCCCACGCAGGCGGGGACCGGCGGGACCCCGTGCTCCCTGACATCCGCCGCTGGGGCCTTCTCGGTCCGCAGCCCCAGGGGTCCCGACCGCTTCCCCGGGGGGGGTTCTTCGTCCCGGACCCGTTTCTGAGGTCCTGGGGCCCGACCGCGGGACCCAGAGCAGGAGGCATCCTAGATGGGGTCTGGGCAGACGAGGTCGGAGGATAGCGCCACATTGCCAGTGCATCCCCGATGCATCGCCGATGCATCGGCGACTTCGGCGATGCATCGGCGCCATCGGCGTGGGGAAGCTCTGGCCGCATCGTCGATGCATCGTGGATGTGGCACGATCCTTCGGCCCCATCCACGCGGACTCCTTCTGGGAGGCCCAGACAGAGGCCGAAATCAGAGGGGGAGGGGGGGGGGGGTGGGGGTGGGGGGGGCAAAATCTGCAGATCGTGGGAGTGGCCCGAAGGCGCGCGCGCGCGCGCGGCGCCTGTGCGCCACGCCAGCCACTGCGCCCTGGAGACGTCCAGCGCCTCCGCGTGCGCCGGGGCGGTGACGACGCTCACCGCCTGGCAGCCGAGGGGCTGGCACGAGGAGGAATGGCGAAGGTCAAGGGCGAAGGTCAAGGGTGAAGGGTGAAGGGTGAGGAGGTCATGGTCATGGTCGTCCGCACAATGGGGTCAGCGTCAACACCTACGAAGGAGCTGCGCGTGCCACTAGCAAGATCCCCTGCGATCAGATTATGCCGCAGCCCAAGGTGAGGAGGAGGAGGAGGAGGAGGAGGAGAAGGAGGAGGAGGAGGAGGAGGAGGAGCGGAGGAGGCAGGAGGCAGGAGGAGGGCGAAGGGTGAAGGGTGAGGGGTGAAGGGTGAAGCGTGAAATGCGAGGAGGAGGAGGACTGCCGAGTACGCTACAGGCTTTCGGGGTACCCAAGCCCATCTTTCAGGATGAGGCGACCTTCAGAAGCGCAGCGTCCCGCAACCCACCGCCTACAGCAAGTCGTCCCTGCAGGAAGGATATGTTGTGCAAGGACTCTCGGGGGTCTCCTCCTTGGAGTCGCGAGTATGGCAGAAACCAGTGCACCCTGACTTGGTTTGGGCCATGCTTCGAGAGGACAGCCAGTTGGGCCGTTCGGGTGCGCCATGGGGGCTCAAGGTTTCCCTCGTTGCTCTTTTCTGCTAGCTTTTCTGGGTAACAAAAAAAAGCTGCGGCATGCTGCGAGGGGGGGGGTCACAGAATCGGAGGCAGCCCCCTCGCCTGAGCGTCATGTGCGCGGTGCGAAGAGTACTGTCATGGGAAACGCCCAGGGCCGCATGTGAACGCATCCCTCACTTCTTACCCCTCAGGAGGCTAAGAGTGAAACGAATTGGACAGCGGCCGTTTAGATTGCCACGGCCAATGCTGGCCCTAGGGGTGACAAGTGGGATCTGCTCGCAGAGACGTCGGCAATCCCACCAAGTGGGATAGCAGTTGCCGAAGAACGAGTAGGTTCGCTCGTTGCCACAGCTCAGCACAAAGGAGCAATCCCGTCACGTGGGATAGCTGAGGCTTGCGAACGGGTTGCAATTCGTTTTCTCCTACAGCCTCAGGAGGCCTTCGGGAATCGAAGCACTGGTTGGTACTTGCGGGTCTCCGAATGGTCGCCCAGAAGACGCACGCGCGTTTGCCGAGAAGCTCAAAAACATAGTCGCACTCAATTCCGAAACCCCCGCAAGCTGTGGGAACCCCCATCCGCCCCCAAAGTTATACATTACACCAGAGAAAAAACCCAATCAGTGGATGGTCTTCACTGAGGAGATCGACCGGGAACCCAGGAGCCCAGGAACCCAGAACCCACCGAAATCGGCCCGGAACCAATAACCGGGAACCCGGGAACCCGGAACCGGGAACCCGGGAACCCAGCCTGCTACCAAAACCTCGGGAGCGGCCAAGAGGGGGGGTGTCCACAAGGAGGGGGTGCAAATCATGACCGGCGGCATGTGCGCGGCCCAGCGGGGGGGCCAGGGACGTCACGAAACAAGAAGAGGCGCCATGAGATATGGGGAAATATCATGCCCCCCGCCATGATATCCACCCCCCCCCAGTCATCACCCCCCTCTTTTCCGCCCCCGAAAATCGGCGGGAAACTGTCGCCGAATCTTTCAGCTTCGCCAGGACCCCTTCAGTGCAAGCACCGATTGGGGAACAGTCTCGACTGCACGCACAAGCCGCGGGGACCTCCATCCGCCGCCGGCCGTGTCCATAGCCCCCTCCTCCAACGTCCTCCCTCCAGCTCCTCCAGAGAGAGAGCGAGAGAGAGAGAGAGAAAACAAAACAAAACAAAAAAACGCGGTCGCTGGGAGGCTGCAGCGGGCCTCCGGGGAGGGCAGAGGTAGAGGCCTGAAAGTGTCACGGAGTACCCCCAGGCCGGGTAGGGGTTTCGCTCACCACCAAGCCCTCCATCGATACCAGCATTTTCGATTAGGGTCGCAAACACGTGACAGTTACAGAGGATGCGCGATACCACAGAACAATCCCACTCAATGGGATCACGTTGAGCGTGGAATCTACCTGCCGCGCGCATTGGTACTGTTTTGTTGCACCGCGTTGGGGGTCGCGGGGAAATCGGCCAAAGCTAGGTGGCAAGAGCACTGGGGGCAAATCCTGCCCTTCCCCACACATCAAGCACATCACAATGTCACGGAATGTGTGATATGCGAACTTCGGAATGCGTGGCATTCCTGGCAGAAAGTTGGAGCTGGGCAAAAAACGAAACGGCGTTCCAAATTGGTCCGTTTTGAAATGCAAACGCCTCCGCCAGCTGATCGACGTTGTCTGGTGGTCCCCGAGCCGCGGCCGCCAGCTCGGAAGGACAACTTACGGCCCTCTCGTTGGTGCAGGCGTTGTTTTTGTCAAGCGGACAACGTTCGCGACGACACCGACGGCACGCGCTGCTGAAGATGATGAGGAACTGCTGCCAGCCTTCGTCCCCATGCTGCGCGCACTCCGGATTTGATAACAGAACAGAAGCGATCTGAGTGTGAGGGGGTGAGATCTGAGCTGCCTGGAAGGGTCCCGGGAGGGTCTCAGGAGGGGGGGTCTGGGCAGAAGGCCGCCCTTGAATGGCTGATTTGGAGGGTCTGCCTTCAAACTGCCCGCCTGGGAGGGTTGTGACTACTAAAGGGGCCCTGGGACGCACAAATAAATACACACAAATAAAAAGATTCCCCGTATTTTCCCATATTTTCTGGGTTTTTGTCTTCCCCCTCACTTCCCATATTTTCCCATATTTTCTGGGGAATCGACGATTAATTGTGTCTGTGTGTTTTTTCCCCTCCTGAACTACCTCGATCCCCCAAAGCAATCGGACGCGGCCGAACCGACCCTTCCGTGACGAGCACCTTCCGTGACGCCCCCCTCGCCCTCCGGGCCTCCCTCTTGCCGCACGCGTGCGCCCTGCGGTGAGGCGAGGGGGACGTCACGGAAGGCGGTAGTTTGCTACGGATCGGTTAAGCTTAGGTCGGGCCTGTCCCCATGCAGGGAGATGTTCGACGAAAAATGAAAAATACCCCAAAAATAATATATATATATATATATATATATACATACATACATACATACATACATACATACATACATACATACATACATACATACATACAGGGCTACCATATATATACATATATATAAAAATAAAAAAGTGATGAGACTATTTTTGAATATTTTTTGACCATTTGGGGGCATTTTTGTGATAGTGTATTTTTCGTCGAAAATCCCCCTGTAAGGGGGACACGCCCGACCTAAGGTTAAGCCGACCCTGACCCCACCGCCCCGCGCGGAGAGGCCACCACGCTGCCCCGGACGCACCGGGCCAGGGTCTCCTGCGCCCAGGCGTCGCGCGACGGGGGGGCAGGGCCGTTGGGCCGGGCGGCGCCGGGCAGCGGCGGCAGGCGTGCGGCCGCCCACGCGCGGCGGGCGCTGGCGCGGGCGGACGGCGGCGGCGACGACGGCGACGACGACGACGACGGCGACGACGGCGACGACGACGACGACGACGACGACGACGACGACGACGACGACGGCGACGACGGCGACGACGACTGCGGCGGCGGCGGCAGCGGCGGCGGACAACGACGGACGACGACGGCCGCGGCGGCGGCGGCGACGGTTGAAGGCGGCATCGGCAGCGGGGCACGCAACCCGTCGGGCGCAGACGGGCAACGGCGGGAGCGGGGATCCATCTCTCGTGCTGCGGCCATGCTCCACCAACATCATCTTTGGCCAGGGCCGTCCTCTGAAGAAAAAAAAAAACCTGACGCAACCCACATGAAAGGTCGTCATTGTTCCAAACAAACACATCTGCCGACACAGTCGGCGTGTGCGAGAGGCCCTTCGATGCGAACAAACAAAATAAACAAAACAAAAGACATCGAACAAACAAAATACATCGAACAATGTCGCAATCACGTCAAATGGAAGCCCCGTCCCTTTGTCCCTTCCCCGCCAGGGGGGGTCCAGAGGGGGCCTTGGAGGCCCTGAGTGATTATAACGGGCTCGGCCTACGTATACCTACGCTGTATGTGAAAATATTTGTTTGTTATACATCCACCATAACATGTTTTGACGGATATGTCCACTTCCAGCGTTTTCAATGCAAGCGCTTGCTTAAGCGCAACAATTATCCATGAGAATCATAATTGGTTTTTGGAAGCGTCAGCCTCAAATATCCGGGCTGTCCCCACGCAATATTGCGAATTCTTGCATCGCATGCGGGGATGCCGACTTTAAGTTGCGTGGGGAAGTTGAGCATGATGCTGACCTACGTAGAACACTGTGGCTCAAAAGCGACAGAGGTGCACTGCACTATCGTTCACTTCGACAGGACATAGTGCACTGTACGTGCACTAGCGTTCAAGGTACATATGGCAACATGACGTTGAATCCCCCACATGGCATTGCAGAACATGCGAAAAGTTGATCGACGCATGCAGGCCCCGAATGGCTGCGCGAGCGATAGAAAAAAGATTCGGCACAAACGATATGTTCGCGGTTTGACTTGTATGAGGAAGCAAGGGGCAATGCCAGAACAAGCAGTACGCTGACCAAGGAGAAACAGCAGCAACAACAACAACAATGATTGGAAGAATGTTCGCAAGTATCTGCTCGAGTGTCATTCCACGCGTATTTCCCGAACCAGGGATACCCGCCCTCTTCGTCTTCGATGGTACCCTTTTTGGGGTAGGTCTTTCTTCCCTGCAGGCCAGGCCCCGGCAAGCGGCGAGGCGGCCGCGGACCGTCGGCCTGGCCAGCGGCAGCGCTGATCGGCGGCAACCCGACCCCAAGAGGGACGGACAGGGGACCGACCACGACGACAACGACGACGACGACGAAGACGACGACGATGACGACGGCGACGGCGACGGCGACGACGACGACGACGACGACGAGCGAGAGCGAGAGCGAGAGCGACAGCGGGGCCACGAAGGGCAGGAAGGGGGCCACAAAGGGCGACAGCGGGGCCACGAAGGGCATGCGTATGGGGCCACGAAGGGCGCGAACGAGCGGGGGCCACGAAGGGCAGGCAACGCGGGGCCACAGGGGGCAACGGTGGGGCCACTGAAGGTAGCAGCAGGGCCACGTAGGACAGCGAGGGTGCCACAGTGGCCGACAGCGGGGACACGAAGGGCATGCCTATGGAGCCACGGCGGGTGCGAACGCCCGGGGGCCACGAGGGGGCATCCGTATAGTGGGCCGCAAAACAAGGACAGGGCCAATGAGGGCAGCAACAGGGCCACGAAGGGCAGCGAGGGGGCCACGAAGGGCGACGGCGGGGCCACGAAGGGCATACATACAGGGGGCACGACGGGCGCGAACGAGTGGGGGCCACGAAGGGCATACATATATGGGGCCACGAAGGGCAGCGAGGGGGCCACGAAGGGCTGCAACGGGGCCACGAAGGGCATCGAGGGGGTCACGAAGGAGTGCAACGGGGCCACGAAGGGCAGCGACAGGGCCACGAAGGGCTGCAGCGGGGCCACGAAGGGCAGCGAGGGGGCCACGAAGGGCTGCAGCGGGGCCGCGAAGAAGGGCAGCGACGGGGGCCACGGACGCTCCCGCCGGAGACCGCAGCTCGCTCACAGACCAGGCTCCCGCATGAGCTTTCCGCAGGATTCCAGCTCGAGGAGCACAAAAGTGACGACGGCTACGACGAACCAACAACACACACACACACACACACACACGCACACACACACACACACACACACGCACGCACGCACGCACGCACGCACACACACACACACACACACACACACACACACACACACACACACACCCATACCCATAGGGGGATCGGAGAGGGCTACGGGTGCGTGTTGTCGGATGGGGGTCCCCGCTCGAACGGGAGCGTTCCCCAGGGTCCGACAACCCGCACCCATACCCATAGCCAGTCCTCCTCCGACGACCCCCCTGTGGGTATGGGTGTGTGTGTGTTGTTCGTTCGTCAGGTTACAGGATCCCGATGGCCCGCCCGGATTATAAACATGAGCTGCGGACCCCACAGGGAGGAGGTTCCTGCCTGAGACTTCTTCACAGTTCACTCACAAACGAGGCTCCCGCCGGAGGCTTCCTCAAGATTCGGGCCTTGGGAGCCCAAAAGTGACGACAGCTACAAGATCACGATGACCCGCTCGGATTACCAACATGAACTGCGGACCCCTCAGAGAGGGAGCTCGCGCCTGTGACTGCTTCGTAATTCACTCACGCACGAGGCTCCCGCCTGATACTTCCTCAAGATTCTGGCCTGAGGAGCCCAAAAGTGACGACAGTTACAGCATTCCGATGACCCGATCGGATTCGAACATGAGGTGCGGTCCCCGCAAGGAGGGGGCTTCCGCGCGAGACTGTCTCGCGATTCACTCAGAGACGAGGCCCCTCTTAGTCAATGATCACGATGGGATGGTGCTAATTAATGATGACGATGGTGGTGTGCGCGGGTGATGATGACGACGATACTGTGATGCCCGGTGGTCATGATGGGATCACGCCATGATAATGAGTAAGTGGTGGGAGAACGTGAATGAGTGACAGAGCGAGAGGATGATGATGGGTAAAAATGTAGTGAGCTGACAGATGATGATGATTGTGATCATTGTGATGACGATGATGATGATGATGCTGATGGTAATGCTGACGTTGATGAAGGTGTGTGAGTGTGTGAGGAGGACATGCGGTGAGGTGGAGGAGGCCTGCGCGGGGTGTCCAGAGAAAACAAAAGCTCCACTTAGTATGTGGGGAACAACAACAATAATCAGATTAAGAGTGTTCGCGCTTATCTGCTCGCGGGCCATTTTACAGATATATCCCAACCCCTCGGTACCCGCCCTCTTCGTCTTCGATCGCACCCCCTGGTGGTATTTATCTGTCTTACCTGCAACGTGCATTCGTGCAGCTCCCAAGGCAGGGGGAGAGAGGACGGATGGAAGGAAGGGACAAGGGGGAGGGAGGAGGATGGAGCACGAGAGAGAATAGCGGGAGGGATATTAATAGAAAGCACGTGGCAAAACCAGACGGGCAGATCGGGCGGGTAGACCCTAACGGGCGGGTCGGGAAGGCGGGCCCAAGCGGCCACGTCGAGCAGGCGGGCTGCTGAAGCGTGATTACTGCATGAATCGCAAGGAAGCCTCGAGCGATAGCGCGGTTCCTAAATAAACAGAAAGGAAGTCCCCAGCGAGAGCGTGATTCCTGAGTGTACCACGCGAGCGTGCGATGTCTGTATAAATCCCACCAGCCCTCTGGGCGTAGGTGGTCTAGAGCAGATCCTCTTCCACCCCTCCCTCTTCCCCCTTGGGGAGGGGTTTACCCCTCCCCCTACCCCCTCCCCTGGACCTGGACGGGGGGGGCCGCGGGTAGTTAGAGCGTCCAAGATGGCCCAAGACGGCTCCAAGAGCGCCTCAGAGAACCCAAGATGAGCTCCAAGATGGCTCAAGATAGCGCAAGATCGCTCACGATGGCTCCTAAGATGGTTCCAAGAAGCCCAAAGACGGCCCCAAGATAACTCCAAGTGGCCAAACAGCTCCCCAAGGAGGCCCCGAAGAGGCCAAAATCGTCCCAAAACCTAAGGAAAATCAATGATTTTTGCTTTCTCGCCTTTTCGCTTCCGATGGCCATCCGAGGCCTGGAGATGGCTCCAAGATGGCCCAAGAGGGCCCCAAGAGAGCCCCAAAAGAGCCCCAAGACGGCCCCAAGAGCGCCCAAGAGCACTCCAAGAGCGTTCCAAGAGGGGTCCAAGAGGCGATTTTAGGGGCTTCCGAGGGGGGACGCTAATTAAACCCCCCCTCTTGTTTGATCGACTCCCTCCAAGATGGCCCCAAAAGCGCCCCGAAGGCTCCCCAGAGCGCCTCAAGAGGGTCCCAAGAGGCGCCCAAGATGCCCCAAGGCGCCCAAAAAGCCCTCCAAGAGGCCCTCAAAAGACCCCCAAGAAGCTCCTTCCCCTCCTCCTCCTCCTCCTCCGATTCTTCCTCCTTCTCCGTCCTCCTCCTCCTCCTCCTCCTCCTCCTCTTCCCCCTCCTCCTCCTCCTCCTCCTCCTCCGACGACGACGACGACGACGACGACTCCTCTTCCATCCTCCCCCTCTCGGGGTCTGTGACAGCTTCCCCCGCCCTTTGTTCTTCTGCATGCTCCCCGACTTCCCTGATCACCTCAACTCCCCTGAGCATCGTTTCTGGATGGGCTGGTGGGGATACGCGAAGCGTCAACAATTGTGAGGAAGTCCCGCGCGAGAACGAGATTTAGGAATACATTGCTAAAAAGTATCGGGCGGGAGCCGCTGTTAGTGTAAACCAGGGGCCAACAACATATATATATATATATATATATATATAGATAACACCTCGCTTACCCTTATTAAAATTCCGGGTGCGAGCCCTGGGAGAAGCATTTTGATTGAAAAACAGAATGGTTACCGGGCAAGGGAAATCAACAATAATTGGGAATAAAAATCAAAACTCAATAACAACAACAAAACACAATAACGACACCAACAAATAACAACAACGATGACAAGAACAACAACAACAACAACAACAACAACAACAACAACATCGTCGTCACCACCATCACCATCACCATCACCATCACCATCACCATCACCAGCATCATCGGCATCATAATCATAAGCATCATAAACAGCATAACAAACATCACCCTCACAATATGTCAGAATCATGAACATCAGCCGCACCCTCACCATCATCACCATCATCGCCATCACCATCAGCATAATCATCACTATCAGCACAATCATCATCCTCATCATCATTATCAGCATCGTCGACGTCGTCGTCTTCGGCATCATTAGTATCATAAGCAGCATCAGCATCATCAGCATCATCAACATGGTCGACATCATCATCGGCAGCATCATCATCAGAATCAGAATCGTGAGCAGCAGCAGCAGCATCATCATCACACTCACCCTCACTCCTCACCCTCCTCCTCGCCCTCCTCATCATCATCATCATCTTCAACAACAGCAGAAACATAATCCTCCTCCTTCCCAGCATCATCATCCTCCTTCTCAGCCTCATAATCATCATCACCACCACAACCATCATCATCATAAGCAGCATCAGTATCAGTAGAAACATCAGCATCATCGTCATCATCATGGATCATCATCAGCAGTAGCATCGTCCGCATCATCATCAGCAGCATTATCATCATCGTCATCATCCTCATCCTCATCCTCATCATCGTGATCATCATCATCATCATCATCATCATCATCACCATCATCACCATCGTCCTCGTGCTCGCCCTCGTCCTCGTTCTCGGCCTCATCCTCACCCTCATCACCGTGCTACTTCCTCCCCCCGCTCACGTCCTCGTCCTCCTCCTCGGCCGCCTCCTCCTCGGAGGAGAGAGTTGGCAGCGCCCACAGGGGGGTGGCGGGGGGTTGGGCTTCTAAGGCAGGGGCCTTCGCAGAATGGCCTGGCGGCCCACAAGAAGTCTTCTTGGGAAGCTGGGCAGGCTTCTGCGAAACCCCCTCTGCCTTCGAAGAAGCCCCGCCGCCCTCCTGCAAGCCCCCCCTCCGCGAGGCGCCCCCCTAGTGGGCGCCGCCACAGGAGCCCCATCTGACCCCTCCTCTGCGGAAACCCGGGATGCCCACACCGCCAATTGCCTCCCAGACCCCTGTCGGGGTTACGTGACCAGACGTGAACCCTGACCCCACCCCCCACGAATTCTAAGCGGGGGGGTTGGCTTCGTTTGGCTCGGGGGCTCCCGAACAAAGTGAACCCCCGCCCCCCCCAGAGAGTCGGGAGGCCGAGAGAGGCGAGAAAACGCGGCCGGGGTGAAACGGTATCCGCACCTCTCTTCTTCCCCCCCGAGCCTCGGATCGGAGGGAAGACCGAGACCCCCCCGACGATGTGATTTACGTGTTCACCACGTCGGCCCCCCGAGGTCTCGACTCACTCCCGGAACCCGCTTTTTGTCTTGTGTGTGTGTCCTCCTCCTCCTCCTCCTCCTCCTCCTCCTCCTCCTCCTCCTCCTCCTCCTTTTCCCCCTCCTCCTCGCACTCCTCGTCGTCGTCGTCGTCGCCCTCTTTGGGGGGGCAGCTCTTTGGAGACCCCCCGCGTCAACGAAGATCGGCACCGACACTCGGCGCGTCAGCGACGATCGGCACCGACACTCGGCACCGACACTCGGCGCCGACACTCGGCAACGACACTCGGCACCGACTCTCGGCGCCGACACTCGGCACGCGCACCCACCAGAGTGCAATCTCCCCTGAGTGGGGTCCTAAAGAGAGAGGCGATCTCTGCCACCCTGACGCACAATTTTTTTGTCGTACCCCCCTCCCCCACCCCGTTTTCTCGCCCGCTCCGCGGCCAGCCCTCTTCACTTCACCCCTCGTTTGCAGCCAGGGCATCTCGCGGTGCCGGCTGGCTTGGACGCGCGTGGACTGCCTCTGCCGCGCTGCGACGTAAAAAAGTTGACGGCCCGAGGCCCGGTGTCACGAAATAGCGAAAAGTCTGGCAAACGTTGTCTTATTCGGCGTTTCGACCTTGGGCGGAGGTGGGGGGAAGGGGGGGATCTGGCTCTGGACCTCTGCTCAGCGCGGTTTGCAACAGCGCGTCCGATGGGGGAGGGACCCCACCTGCGCGACACAGGCCCCAAACACAGCCAAGGTCTACTCCATGGGGGGGAAGGGGAAGGGGGTGCGAGGGCCCGCGCCGATCGGCAAAACAATGGTGGTGGTGGTAGCGTCACATGTGGGGAGTTCTCCTCGACGCCCAATGCTCTACTGCCTGGCTGTCAGGTTCGACCGCCTTCGCAGTGTGCGTCAGCATGAATAAGAAAACTGTCTCGGCGATGGACAATCTCCCTCTAGTAAACCTCCCCTTAGTGAAAACGGCCTGGGACCGAAACCGACGGACCTGGACCCGCAAAAATGACGGCCAGGACGCCCTCTCGCGAACCGGAAACGGCCAATTCCTCAATCGACGTGTCCGGGTAGGAGATCTATCCACCTCCGACTGTCACTACACAAAACCGCGAAGAACCTTCCGTCGTGCCTACTCCGCGCCTGGAACGGGGCCCGGTCAGGGCGCCCTCCGCCTCCTCGGAGGCGGAGACTACAGCTGTGGAGGCCCGTCCACGAGAACCCTTCCGCAAGGAACCCAACCCCGAGACCCCAGGACGTCCACCGATCTTTGGCGTGGGCACGTCGCGCTCTCCCAGGGCAAGACCACCGAGAGCCAAGAGGCCCGGGGCACCCTGGAGGCAAGCAGGGTGCCTCTTGGCATGGGCCTCCGTTTCGGCGACTCCAGGGGGAGAGGGGGAGGGGAAGGGGGAGGGGGAGGAGGAGGAGGAGGAAGAGGAGGTTAGGAGGAGAGGATGAGGAGGAGGAGGAGGAAGAGGAGGAGAAGGAGGAGGAGAGGGGTGAGGAGGTAGGCAGTGAGACGAAAGAGGAGGAGGAGGCGGAGGGGAAAAAAGACTATAAGAAGGAGGGAGAGGAAAGGGAAAGGGAGGAGGAAGGGAGGGAGGGAGGGAGGGAGGGAGGGAAGGAGGAGGAGGAGGAGGGTTGGGGAGGAGGGGAGGAGGAGGAGGGGACGAGGAGGAGGAGGAGACGAGGAGCATGAAGAAGAGAGAGAAGGCGGAGGAGGAAGAGATGGAGGGGAGGAGGAGGAGGAGGAGGAAAAGAGGGAGGAGGAGGAAGGAGGAGGAGGAGGAGGAGGAGGAGGAGGAGGAGGAAGTAAAGAGGGAGGAGGAGGAGGAAGGATGAGGAGGAGGAGGGGAGGAGGAGGAGGAGGAGGATGGGGAGTGGACAGCGTGGAGGAGGGAGGAGGAGGAGGGAGGAGGAGGAGGAGGAGGAAGAGGGGTTTCTTGACACGGGCCCCCACTGCGCCTCCCCCCCCTCCGTGGCGCCCGTCCTGCGTGAAGGCGTCCACCTCCGAGGGGGGCGCCCGCTCTCGCCCGAGGCCGCCGCCGGGCGTGAAGCCGCCTGGCGCCGCGCGACGACGACGACGGCGACGACAACGACGACGACGACGACGACGACGACGACGCTGACGACGACGACGAAGCCGCCTGACGCCGCGCGACGACGACGACGACGACGACGACGACGACGACGACGACGGCGACGGCGACGACGACGACGACGACGACGACGCTGACGACGACAACGACGACGACGACGACGACGACGAACTCCACGAGTTCTCGCCTCGCAGAGCCGTGTCCCCGGGCTATGCTGCCCTCAGCGCTGTCAAGCACGCTTGCTGCTGGTTTCTGCGGGCAGGTGGACCATTCAAGAAGCCATATGTTTGAATCGTCGACGCCGAGCGTATCCCCGCCAGCCCATTCAGAAACGATCGCCAAGCGAATTGTCTTGATCATGGAAGCGTAGAAGCATGCGGTGGAAAAGCCGACTTGGAAGCGCGTCGGGGGCGCAGAAACGGCGGGACAGTTGCTGAATCACTCAGCACAGGTTCCCATGCCACATATGCGTCATAGGGGTCTCCTGGGGGCCCTCTTGGAATCATCTTGGAACCCTCTTCGGCAAGAGAGGAGGAACTGAATGCGGGAGGAGAAGAAGAGGAAGAGGACGAAAATATCGAAGGATGGGGGGGGAAAAGGCGACGACGAAGGCGACAACGACAACGACGAATCAGCAATAAAGCATTCGCGGGGCTTTCGATTGGCGAGCCTCTTGGAAGAGCCATCTCGGAGCCAGTTCGGAGTGTGGTCGACTGACGGTTCTGGTTAAGCTCCTCACCGCCTCCATGTGCTGTCCTCGTCTGCGGGCTGCCCGCATTGCGTTTTCGCAAGAATTCTGCCTGCAACGATGGCCGCACGTGACAAATCGCCCCTGCACGCATCAAGACATGAAGTCCGAGTGCTCGCCCCCACGCAACAGCGCACAAAACAGGCACACTAAGTTCGAATAAGTTCGACAGAGCAGGGAAAGGAAGAGAAGGGGGAGGAGGGAGGAGAGAAGGGAGAGGAGAGGGGAGAAGGAGGGAGGAGAAGGAGGAGAGGGGGGAGGAGGAGGAGGGAGGAGGAGGAGGGGGAAGGAGGAGAGGAGGAGGAGGGGGAAAAAAGGAAGGAGCAGGGAGGAGGAGAGAGGAGGGAGGAGAGGAGGGGGGAGGAGGAGGAGGAGAGGAGAGGAGGAGGAAGGGAAGGGGAGGAGGAGGGGGAAGGAGGAGGGGAGGGGAAGGAGGAGGAGGGGGGAAGGGAGGAGGAGGAGGGGAGGGGGAGGGAAGAAGGAAGGAGGAGGCGTGAAGGAAGAGGCGGAGAGGGTGGCAGAAAATCATGACAACCAAATACATGCCTGGGAGGAGCGGGGGAATGAGGAGGAGGAGAGGTAGGGGGGAAGGAGGGTATAGGGGGGAAGGAGGAGGAGCAGGGACCTCGCCGTCTTATTCCTCCGCTCGGGGAACACTGAATGCACGAGCATAAGCTCTCGGAGCTCCGCGCGGATCCTTGGATCGGCGCCGGGGGCCCGTCCCCCGCGCGCGGAGCGCGCCACGGGGGCCCAGCGCCGATCACGGGATCCGCGCGGACATCCGAAAGAGTATGTTTATGCAGTGATAAAAGGGTCTCCTCCCCCTCCTCCTCCTTCCTCTTGTCGCCTCCCCTCCTCCTCCCCGCTTCCGCCTAACCGACCTCCGCCTCCGCCTCCGCCTCCCCCTCCGCCTCCCCCCCTCCCCGCCCCCCTCCCCCCCCTCCCCCCCATCCCCCGTCCCCCCCCCCCCCCCCTCACCCTCCTCCCCTCCTCCTCCTCCTCCTCCTCCTCCCTCCCTCCCTCATCCTCCTCCTCCTCCTCCTCCTCCTCCCTCCGCCTCCTCCTTCCTCCTCCTCCTCCTCCTACTCTCTCATCATCTCCCCATCATCATCATCATCATCATCATCATCATCATCATCATCATCATCATCATCATCATCATCATCATGAATCGATATCACCATCACCATCACCTCACAATCATCATCACGATCTCATCATCATCATCATCCTCATCCTCCTCTCTATCCTCCTCCTCTCCTCTTGTTCCTCCTCCTCCTCCATGATCCTCCTCTTTTTCCTCCTCGCTCCTCCTCCTCCTCCTCACCACCATACCCACCACACAACAACACCAACAGAACAACCCACCACACCACCATCATCATCATCATCATCTCATCATCATCAGCATCAGCATCAGCATCAGCATCAGCATCATCATCATCATCACATCATCATCATACATCATGATCCGCATCATCATCATCCCCACCATCACCACCACCCCACCATCATCATCATCATCATCCTCCTCATCATCATCATCATCATCATCAGCCGCATCATCAGCAATCACACAGTCATCAGCATCATCAGCATCATCAGCATCAGCATCAGCAGCAGCAGCATCAGCATCATCATCATCATCATCATCACCACCACCACCATCATCAGCATCATCATCAGCAGCAGCATCATCATCGTCAGCATCAGCCTCATCAGCAGCAGCATCATCATCAGAATCGTCAACCTCATCCTCATCAACATCAGCAGCAGCAGCATCATCGGCATCAGCATCATCATCATCAGCAGCATCATCATCAGCATCAACATCAGCATCATCATCATCATCAGCATCATCAGCATCATCCTCATCATCAGCATCATCATCATCATCAGCATCATCATCATAATCGTCATCATCATCGTCATCGTCATCATCATCAGCAGCATCAGCATCAGCAGTAGCATCAGCATCATCAGCATCAGCATCATCATCATCACCACCACCACCACCATCATCGTCATCATCATAATCATCAGCATCATCAGCATCATCATCCTCATCATCATCAGCAGCATCAGCATCATCAGCATTACCCTCAGCATCATCATCAGCAGCAGCATCATCAGCATCATCACCATCGTCATCAGCATCATCGTTACTATCATCATCAGCATCAGCAGCGTCATCATCATCATCATCATCATCAACCATAGCATCATCATCATCATCATCATCATCATCATCAGCATTATCATCAGCAGCAGGATCAGCATCATAATCATCAGCAGCAGCATCGTCATCGTCATCGCCATCAGCATCATCAGCATCATCCTAATCAGCATCATCAGCATCATCGCCAGCATCATCATCATCATCAGCATCAGCATCCACATGTTCGTCCTTATCGTCTTCGTCGCATAAGTATTACTAGTCGTCTTAATAAGATTGGCCTTAGTGTTTGCATCAGTATTCGTATGAATATTCGTAGTCGTATTGTTCATCTTGTTATTGTCAGCGCCATTATGTTTAGTCGCATTGTCGTCTTATTATTAGTATGAGCCGTCGTCGCGTGATTATGCGTCCCCTTCTTAACATTATGATTCGCAGCCAGTTTCTTATTATCACCCGTTGTAGTAATAGCAATATTACTAGTATTCTTGTTACCGGTATCAGTACTATTATTAACCTTAGCATTCCTGGCCGTATTACTAGTATCATTAGTCTTTTGAGTATTCGTTACAGTCTTCTTATTTGTCGTCAAATGGTTGCTAGTCTTCTTCTTCGTCGTAGTAGTACTATTCCTCCTTCCCCCCCTCCTCCTCATCCGCCTCCTCCTCCTCATTATATTCCTCCTCCTCCTCATCATCCTCCTCCTCATCATCTTCATCCTCCTCCGCATCATCATCATCATCATCATCATCATCATCATCATCATCATCATCATCATCATCATCATCATCATCATCATCATCATCATCATCATCATCCGCCTCCTCCTCATCCTCATCCTCTTTCTCCCTCCTCCCTCCTCCTGTTCCTCCTCCTCATGCTCCTCCTCATCCTCCTCCTCATCTCCCTCCCCTCCGGCTCCTCCTCCTCCTCCTCGACGAATCCCTACAATAATAAAAAAAGATCGACCGCAGCTATGAGCCATAAACTCCAGTTCCACGTGTTGTCGCATGAAGTTCGTGTCCCGCCTCACATTCCTCCTTCTCTCCTCCTCCTCCTCCCTCCGCCTCCTCCTTCCTCCTCCTCCTCCTGCTCCTGCTCCCCTCCCCTCCTCCCGTCCTCCTCCTCTCCTCATTCTCCGCTCCTCTCCTCCTCCCTCTCCTTCCTCCTCCTTCGGCCGTGCCCTCCCTCTCCCCGCCCCCCTCCCCCCTCCACAATTACTCAATATGAAGACTACTCTCCTCTCTCCCCTGAGTCTGTGGCGGAGTATGCCTCGGAGTGTGCGGCCCCCCCTCGCGTTTTGCATTTTTTTTCTACACAGGATGTCGGCGAGTTGGGTTTTCGCTTCTGTGTTGGTAAAAATGCTGCTCTCGCTGAGGCGCTGGCCTCATTTTCGGGTTTCCCTCCGTTTCGGATCGCGCTCCCGCTGCAGCGCTGGTTTCATTTCCGCGCGTCCGATCATTCCGAATCGTGCTCCCGCTGCAGCGCTGGCCATATCTCCACGCTTCTGCTCGTTCCGAATCGTGCTCCCGCTGCAGCGCTGGCGTCATGATCCCAAGCGCCCTGCCACGACATAATTTCCGATCCTTCCAACTAAGACCCCAAAACTAAAAAATGGCCCCCGAAGCCACCATCGGAAATGATTACACGCTCGGTGTCGATTCGCTGATTTTTGGGGCCGCGGAAGCCCCCCCCCACACGTTGGGGCGCCAGGCTTCGCGTTGATCTTCAACACCATGCTATGCGATGTAATGCTATGCCCTGCTACGACCTTCGCCGGTGCGAATAGAGAGTAGACCTACGCCATGGTAAGAGATGGGAGGGAGAGGTAGGACGCAAGATATGACGCGAGCGCACCTAGCTTGCCCCTCACCCCTCCCCCCTCTCCCCCCCCACCCTCAACAATTACTCAATATGAATACTACTCTCCCTCTTCCCCTGATGGCGTCTTTTGCGTATTCGCCCCTCCCCCGCGTATTGTTTTTTACACACATGATTCCCCGGAGTTGGATTTTCGCCTGCGTTTTTTTCAAAATGC